ACCATGACGATGTGTGGAACATGAAGTATCTCAAGGGCTTCAAGTGGGCGGATCTGATGGAGCAGGTGCAGCGGGAGAGATCGGAGAGGGAGGCGAAGAGGCGGATTGAGGATACGAGGGCCCGGAAGGAAGATAAGGTGTTCTTGCAGGGTGTGGAGCAGGGTAAGGTTCTACAGGGGATCCAGAAGAAGAATGAGGAGAAGAAAAAGAAGAAAGGCGAGTCGGGGCCCGGTGAGGGTGACGGTGCTGCTGATGCGGCTGCGGCTGTGTCTGACCTCAAGGTCCGCAGGTTGTTCAAACAGAACGAGGTCAAGATGGGACGGGATAAGGTCAAGGATATTTCTACGTTGGAAGATGATGCGAAGCGCGTGCTGAGTAAAATCTTCTAATCTGCATGCACGCCGATACATCATTTATAGATATCCACTATTTGCAACAGGTTCCTTTTGTTCAAACTCAGGAATGTAGAATGTATTCTATATATCTCCATGAGAAAACTTTTGATTGCCCGGGTATTATTTGACCTAGAAGTCGAAAGCACATGAAACCTTGATTAAACGCCAAAATCCGTCAATGCATTGATGGTTAGCTCAATCGAGAGCTCATTCGTCGTCATCCACGTTCAGCTCGTCAAAGTCGTCGAGCAACTCTTCCATGCTGATCTTAGGCGCTTCATCATCGCTCTCGTCCTCATCCATATCCATGCCACCAGCACCGCCTTCGACTTGCATACGATCAGTCGGCCGAGCATTCTTGTTCTTGTACAGTTGCAGGGTACTACGCAATTCTTGGTCTTCTTCCACATCCCGCAGGAACATTTCAAAGTCGGCCTCCATGCGTTCGCGTTCCTGCTCTTGCTTGCGACTGATCGACGCACCCTGCTGCTGCAGAGCCTCCTCCTCATATTCGCGAGCCATGCGCTTAAGTCGCCAATTGCGAGTCTTCTTGTTCTTCTTGCGAGCATAGTGCTTCTTGACCAGTACAACGTCCGGGATAGTAGAGCTGTATTGACTGCTGGCTTCGATGGCTTCGAAATTAGGGTCGTTGAAGTTTGCGCCGGTGAGATGGTAACCGAGTACAGAGTCACCGACATGCAGAATTCCGCCCAAGTGCGTCCGAGTGAAGTAGGTCTGATTGTTCGAGCCCAGGTCTGAGGCACGCGCAACAGTCGCCTCAGCAAGATGGAATCGTCCGTTCGAACGGCCAACGGGCTCGATATCCATGATGATAAATTCCACGAGCTCGGCGACGTCCGCAAGGTTCTTGAATGGTGCTCTCCAATACACTGCAGTGGGCACTTCGGCCGTCTGAAGCGTGTTTGGATCAATCAGGTTGACTGAGGTGCTAACACGGTGGCAAAGGGCCAATGGAGAGATGTTGCCGAGGGACCTGGCCAATTTGATGGGAAGAGCGACCAAATCGTCTTTGCAGATAGGAACCAACTCGACCGAGAAGGTGAATTTGTATGACTTGGTCGAAGTGTGGATATCCATAGAAATCAACTCCTGAGACTTCTTGACTTTGATTGGCGTGACGGACGACAGGAAATCAACCATCTTTTCGGCATGGTTCCTCTGGGCAAAGAAAAAGTCCAATCCATCCTTTGCTTCCTTGATGTTGACCGTATCTTGGTGAGCGTTGTGCTTGAGAATCAATTGTTCCAGGTAGAGGAATGTTCGTTTATGAGGGACCTTCTGCCGCACTTGGACAGAACTAGAGACGTAGTTAGCAAGAAATCACTAATGTCGCCGGACCAAAAGCTACTCACGCTCGCCATGTATTGTGTGTATATGACTTCGCGCAGTCGGGGCATTGCTGAGCATGAACGACATATTCAACTTCAAAAGCTTGCTGAACAATGGTTCCTTGGAACGCCTCCTGCTGAATTGTGATCTTGACCTTAATACGCCTCGAGTGGGGTTCGGTCCAGATGAAACTCGCGTCAATGATTCTAACTTTGTTCAAGCCCCTAAGCTTGCGTAGACACAGCGCCAAAAGCTCTTTCGATTCAAGTGCGGCGCTGACCCAAGCAGTTGGGGGCTGAAGCCATCTCTCACAATCTCTGCAGAAATGAAGGACAGCTTCGCGGGGGATACCCTGGCTGATATCGACTGTCAATCTAACACAATCTTGACAGAGAGCGCCCGCCGATGTTGTTCCGTCGATAGGAGCTCCACAGTTGCAACAGAGGATTCTAGAGAGTCACAAGAGTCAGCCGAAGTTCACAGCTCATCATAAAACTCTTATTCGAATGCACGGAATGTGAGGGGGACGACTTACGTAGCAGAGATTGCCTCCTGAGGAGCCGCAAACGGGACTGGGGCATCTAGATCCATCGACATCTTGAAGCCCTTAATGAAAAAAGACTTGAAATACAGAGAGCCCAAGAAGAGAATATAAACTCAGGGCCATAGACTCTTGAGAGGATGATAAATGACTGCCTTTGCCCCGCGGAGGAAACATTTTTTTTGATGTGTTTGTCTGCTTATCAAACCATCCCGCTTGGTCAGCAAGTGGTTTGCACTATTTGCACTACGGGGAAAGAACTGAATATCGGCCATGCATATCGCCATCGTTGAGCAGTCCCCTGACCTCTCAACTGGTCCCAGTTGATCATACTTCAAATGAATCGGATATTGTCCAAAGGCCCCAAGGGCTTTAGCGGACTGTTGCTTGCATGTCCATCCAATTCGGGCCGTTCGTTCCTCTGTCGCTCAACTTACAATGTCAACAGTCGAACCTTCTGGTCTGCACCTCGCCTTCGCTCCGAGGACTCCCCTTCCAGCAGTCAGCCATTGAAGCCTGATCCAAATGACGGAAATGGAAATACTCACAGAACTACCTCTACGGCGTCATCTCAACATACACCCTGGTATCTCCAGGAAGGGACGCCGATCGACGAGTCGCGCCAAATTTCCTCTCGAGACCAGATCCCGGAGCTCCCTGAAAACCCACCAGCCATTCTGCCTGTTCTCCTTGACTACGTTTTCAAAGATCTTGGCTTGGATGAACTCAGATTACTTGACCTTAGAGGTCTCGAGACACCCCCGCCCATTGGCGCCAATGCCATCATGATTATTGGCACCGCTCGTAGTGTGAAACATCTAAATGTTTCCGCCGATCGTCTATGTCGCTGGTTGAGAAGCACCTACAAGCTCACACCTTATGCGGATGGCCTGCTGGGTCGGAACGAACTCAAAATCAAACTTCGCCGTAAGGCTCGACGCGCCAGGGTCGCCAGTCGTGCTGGAACAACGGTCGACGAGAAGGATGACGGAATCACTACCGGCTGGATCTGTGTAAACGCAGGCGTCGTTGAAAACTCTCCGATCGAGGAACAGGCGTCTCGGAGGGTCGAGGGGTTTGGTAACATTGTGCGGGGCACTCGAGTTGTAGTGCAGATGTTCACGGAAGACAAGAGGGCCGAAATCGACCTTGAGGGCCTTTGGCTAGCTACCATTGAACGCGATAGACGGCGGAGACAAGTTTCGATAGACACCAAATCAGACGCGCCTCATGAAGAGGTTCGTGCTTCTACACCAGTCAAAAATTCATCCTCTGACCATGTTTTCGGACTCCACTTCAGGTCTTCGGCGAGCCTTCCTCTGGAACAAAGAAGGGGTCTACACAGCAAATGCCGGCTCCTCAGTCCTCAAACTGAAGACAACCAAGACGACGCCTTCAACGACCGCTTGGATGTGTCTCCAGATTCTATCTCCACTCGAGCTGACCAACTTGCCGCCAACTGTACTTGTGATAAAGAAGTTGCTACTGATTCATTGCTTGAACGCCTGTCTGGATTACCTGATGACCAAGCCCTGAGTGAACTAGGAGCTGGACAGGAAGACAGGGACTCGACTCCCTTTCTCCGCCGGTTTTACGATGCTCTTTCGCAAATGTCAGCCGAAGCAGCGGCAGTGGCTCGGGTAAAGTTGTTATGCACGGCCATCTCTCGACGCCATCAGGGATACAGCAAGGAAAGCCTTTGGAAAGCTTTCACGACTTGTAACTACCACACCTATTTTATATCCGACGAACTGGGCATCGAAATCGTTTCAGCGATGTTAACGGCACTACCGGCTCACGAGGAAGGCCCCAAGGCTGCTGGAGTGCTGCCAGAAGCCGACAGAGAACTCGCTCTTCGCGTCCTGGAACATCTTTCTCTGCGAGGGACTGACGTCCTTAGTATGAAAGTGTTCCATTTGATATACAAAGCGGCCGGTCATCCGACAAACCTTTCTGGTGAAAAAGTCATAGAAGATGTAACAGGTACCGCCAAAGTTCGACCTACTTCGCGCGTAGCGAAGTTAATTGAAACCCTCGACATCCAGTTTGACCCAGAGGAGGCTCGCAAACTTATGGTGTCTATGTTTCGCAACGGAGACTACGATGGGTTTTGGAAAATTTGGCGCAAGCTTCCCCTGAATGGCAGCCCGCGTACCTTTGCAGACTATGAGATGCTTTTCCGGCTGCATGCAGAGTTAGGGGACGAGTGTCGCTCCAGAGACTGTGTTTCCACCTGGGTGCCCATGATGAGGCGTGAACATCCCCCGATTCCACTCAGGGGACAAGTAATGCAGGATATTATGTACTGTATCCTGATTGCAGAGCCGGCCATTGACCGGATGGCAGCAGCAGGGTCAATGAGTAACCTGGCACTAATCTGGAACGACTGTAAGAACAATGCGCCGGCGAGAGATTGATATGGTTCTGCGGAGCATATAAATGTATTATAAGCCTATAAACCCGTGTAAATTAAGAGGTACCTGGCTATGAAATGTTCCACATTGTTGTTGTTCTGTACGTAGTTTAGAGTGTTGTAGTAGACCGAAAGGCCATATCGCATATGCCCGACGTTTGGCCGATGAACCTCGGCTGCTAAGGCCGGCGTCACGACAGCATCTTCCCCAGACTGGCGGCGATTCTCCGCTTCTTAACAACTGCATTGATCTGTAGCTTCAGCTTTAGCTGTTTGATGATGACTAACTACTGTCTTCACGATGGAATACCTACCCAGTCTTCAGCAGGAGTTTGACGAGCTCAAGCCGTCACTTTTCGGTAAGCGAACTGACCTTAGATGATTGGACTCGAGAACCTCAACTGATTCAGTTTCACAGAACTCCTCGCTGAGCAACAGCTCTCAGATCTCCTACCTCCTTCGCTTCGATATCTCCTCGCCGTCGCTACACATCGTCATCCTCGCTATCTATTACGGATCCTAAACTCATATGACGAAGTCTACGCACTCCTGTCTCTCATTGTCGAACGATACTATCTCCGTACCTTTGGTGGCTCTTTCACCGAGAACTTCTACTCTCTTAAACGAGAACGAGTCCTACGGACCAAGAATGGCGAGATTCCCCGGGCGCAGCTCGGCGCGCCAGGCCCCGTGCGCGAGTCTCTTAAGCTGCGGTCGTCGGACGTGTGGAAGAACCTTTTTGTCATGGTCGGAATCCCCTATCTGAAGCGCAAGCTGGACGAGGGCTACGACATACACGCCGCACCGCAGGCGTCGCTAATTCTGAGCGGGGGGCCGCGATACAATCCCAGCGACGACCTTCCTGCACGCCCAACAATCCGCCAGCGGCTGATGTACTACTACAAATGGTTCCTGCGGAACGTCTACCCCTCCGTCAACGCCGCATACTACTTCTCCATCCTAGCCTTCAACCTCGCCTACCTCTTCGACAACACGAAATACTCCTCCCCTTTCCTATGGCTCATCGGCACCCGAATTCGCCGCCTAGGCGCCGCCGATCACCGCGCCATCGCCGCCGTCCTAGACGGCAAACCCAGCGCCAGCGCTGCCTCCGCCCGCTCCCGCCCCGGCTCCGGGCTCCTGGGTCTCCTAAGCCCGCAGAATCTCTACCCACAACTCCTCGCCTCGCTGCGCTACTTCCTCCCGGCATCGATCTTCGCGCTGAAGTTTCTCGAATGGTGGCACGCAAGCGACTTCTCGCGCCAGCTGGCGCGCAAGGCGACGGAGGTGCTCGATCTTCCTGCCCCCGTCGTCAACGGCATGGTTCCGCCCTCAGAAAGAACCAAGAAAGCAGATTCGCAGAAGGGCAAGGAACCCGCCTCGAAGGACCTCAAGCCCGCGCTCAAAAGCCCAAACCGCCGGATGCAGCCACCCATCTCGGCTACCTCGTACCTACCTATCTTCACCGTTCCTCTCCCGCCCGCGGACTCGGATAGCGCGTCTGCCTGTCCGATCTGCCTCAACCCGTTGACGAATCCGACGGCGTGCCAGACCGGCTATGTATTTTGTTATGTTTGCATCTTTCACTGGCTGAATGGGGATCACCAGCGGCAGCTGGATTTTATGAATGGCGAGAGCGCGGGCGCTGCCTGGGAAGATGAGAATGAGGACAGTGAGGATGGTGCGAAAGACAAAGAGGACGGCCGTGAGGAAAAGAAAGTCAGCCGGGAGGGCAAATGGGAGAGTGGCAAAGGGAGATGTCCAGTCACAGGACGGAGGGTGCTGGGGGGTACTGAAGGGCTTAGACGAGTTCTAATCTGATTGTCATGAATCATGTCGAGAAATAGGTGTACGATGCATCTAGATGAGCTTCCTTCGTCATTATAAAATCACATTATATATCAAGTAATCCAACCGACGATTATATCTAGGGAAGGATGTATCTGGAATCTAATACTGGGAGAAGCCCGCTACACTAATTGCTGTCATCCTGTACACAACCCTAATAATATTAACGACACGGGTATATGGGATTACTGGACGATGTACGGCTTCGCGCCCTCCCCAAAGATCAGATGCGGTCTCTCCGCTGCGATCTTCAAAATAGTCTGCGCAAAGACCGAGTTGGCCCAAGCAAACCAAGGACGCGTATATTCTTTGATATTGTTGACGTTGATAGATTCGTGGACAAGACCCAGGAGACTTGAATTACGGACAAGGTTGATGCATTCGGTGATCTCGGCTTCAGAGTCGCTTGTCATCGCTTGAACCAGAAGTGACATTGGCCAAGCGTTATGCAAACCGACTACATGCAGGTCATGGTTGGCGTCTCCTTTGTTCATGGAAGGGTAATAAAGGGAATGGGATGAACTTACTGTGAGGTCCACCGATGCCATGGAACGCGGAGCCTGTCAGATAATACGGGTTGCCGGTCTTGTCAAGAATCATCTTGCGCGTGTTGCGATAGACGTGATCTTTCTCATCGACGTAGCCGAGCAGAGGCAACGAAAGCAGGGACGGAATGTTGGCATCGTCCATGAGGATCCGTGAACCATAACCGTCCACTTCGAAAGCAAACACATCGCCGTACTTTGAGTGGTGAACGACCCCATGCTCTCTGACAGCGTGATCAAGCTCCTCGCCCCGCTGCCGAAGTTTTTTGACCAGGTCCGCACTCCCTCCTGCCGCCTTGATCACATCCGCGGTTCTCTTCAGCTGGACAGACATCATCGCATTAGGCGGGATGAAGTACCCGAGAATAGTAGCGTCGTCACTGGGGCGAAATGCGCTTCGAATGAGACCCGTGCCATTATTCAATGGATTACCAATGCCCTCCAGGCTCAAAGTTTCAGTACCCGCGGTGGTTGTGCGCTGGAACGTGTACTGGTTGGTGACGAATTGGCCCTGTTCGTTGAACGTCGGCTGTGACTGCGCATCCAAAACGCTGAGAAGCGTGTTCAGAGCCATGTACCAACGGTCCGTGAGGAATTCCGTTGATCCCGTGTTTTCGAAGAACTGGGTGCCCAGCGCCAGAAAATGTGCCAATGAATCGAGCTCGTACTTGCATTCGAACACAACAGAAGGCTCATATGCCGGATGGACCTTGTCGTCCTGCCCATTCGGTGTCGGCTTCAGGCCACTGGGCGGAGGGGGTTGAAAGGCATTGCAGTATGGCGATTGAATGACAAACTCAGCCTGGGTGTTAATGGCACCCAAAATGAGGTTGTGGAGGGCTTTGTCCTTTTTGGCTAGAGCCTGGTAACCTGCCAACTGGTTCGTGGAGTCGCGAAGCCATTCTGCATTGATATCGCCGGTCACAATGAAGCTCTGTGGTCCCTGCCATTGAGCACCGTCCTTCTTAGCCTTTTTGGCCGCTGCGGAGCCATCGGTGTGCCATCTGACGGTCGTGTCCAAGGTGTTTGGAAATGCATTTCGAAACAATTGAGCCAAATCCTTGTCCACCATACGGGATGTAACTTCGTCAATAACTTTCTCCACTTCTGGAGATGAAAAGGTGCGACATTCTGTCGCTGGCCTTTGGAAGGGTAGGTTCAATGGACCACCACTGTACGGAGGACTGTATTAACGTGAGAAGATTTGAATTAGCTCTTGGTCACTCAAATCGCGTAGAGAAACAGAGACGTAGCGACATACTGCGGTATAGTCGAGTATGAGACATAATCAGGACAAGCTCGCCGTAGAATGGCGGGCTCGTCTCGAAGCCCTGCGGTGCCGCTGGCTTGAAGACCAACTGTCAGGGCAAGAAAAAGGGCCGACGAACGAGTCATAGCCGGCTGAATGCTATCTGATTAACCTCGTCTCAACGTTGAGAATGTGAAGTTATTTCGAAGGGGTGAAAGTAATCTCGACGATTCAAGGATTCAATAGTGTCGCATTGGCGATTGTTTATCAACAGTCGTGTCCGCTGTATGCCAGACGGGGAAGTGATGGACACAAATAGTCGAACGCGGACATGCGCTTCGAACCGGTTCGAAACCCAATGCTCTCCCAATGCCCTCATATCCTTTATATTCGCCCGGAATTTAACCGAAGTCTCCGAGTCCCACGGTAGCATTGCAAAGGATTGTTGCAATTCAAAGATAGGGGAACCGTTTAGAATCGCTATTTGTTCATCCCCGCTCAGGATGCGGAGATCGTCATAATATGCGGGGGGAACCAATAAGCTGGTAAATACCCATGGCGCTGCGAGATGCTTCTGTGGACTCGCAAGTTCTACTAAAGGAAAGACATTCGACATAATTTACACGTGCGGTGACTACCTATGCTCTAGAGCATGGCTAAAACAGCTTCTTTTGCTGATTTTACATCATCGACCACTCTACTTCTTGGAGAAAAACGACATGATGTTGCCTTGACCGGCCTTTCCTCCGGCCTTGCCTTTGGGCGCACTCAAGGCCGGCTTTTTCTTAGGCGGTGGTGCGGGTTCATCCTCCGAGAATGACTCCCATGACGGCTCTTCTACGGTCACTGGTGAGAAAAGGCAGGTTAGCGGGGTTTAGAGTGTCATCAGATGCAGCGCACGGAGGTTCTCACCAAGGTAGCCTTCCTCGTCCTTGACGGTCTTCTTTTTCATGACCTTGCGCCTACCTCGTCGGCGGCCTCCTGACACTGTTATCTCTTCCCTGGGTTCCTCCTTGGGCGGTGGCTGGTCGATGGTTTTTTCTTCCTCTGCGGGAGGTTCTGGAACATCTGCCATCTCCTCATCTTCATGTTCACACTAGTTAGTATCCATCAAATCGTAGTGTCGTATGAAAAATAGAGCCAATTTGCGTACCGTCGTCATCCTCATCCTCCATCATCTTCCTGAGCCTCTCTTCTCGTTGTTTTCTCGTCTCACGATTGTTGGCCGTCGATGACTTCCCGGAGTCAGGGAAGAGTTCTTCGGGTTCCTCCTCATCAGAGGCATCCCCTAGAACCACTGCTATCTATTAGTTCTTGCATCAACACCCGGAAGTGGCTAATGCTGAGCTTACCATCTTCTGCACCGCTAGGCTCGGCCTTGTAACTTAATCAGCAGCTGTGACTTCGCAACACAAAGTTGGCAGGGGTGCACTGACCGATTCGGCACCAGAAACAGCAGGGGTCGCTGATCCTTCTTTCTTCTGTTTTGGTTTTGCCTTCGCAAAAGAGCTGAAGAGGTCGCTCTTCTCCCTCTTCAAAGGCGCAGTCTTCGCGCTAGGTTTGACGGGTGGCTTCTCTTCAGGCTTTGGTTGAGATGTAGGTGCTGCGTCTTCGGCCTTCTTGCTCTCCGACTTCACTTTTTGTGTCGCTTCTTCCTGTGACGGGCGTTTCGAGGGTGCCGCACTCTTCGGGGCCGGGGTGGGCGCTGCTGCCGGGGGCCGCATGCCTGTTCTCCTCTGCGAGACAGAAGTCAGGCGATGTCTTCTTCAGATCAATGGCCACTGTATTTCAGGAAAGATACCTTGACGTTCTTGTTTTGAATCATTCCCCATTGCTTTCCGTATTCTAATGGATCTTCATGAGCATGGGCGGCCAGCATCTCTCGATGGACGTCGGTGAGCACGTTGAGGTCCTGTAAAACCGCGGGCTGTAAGCTATATATGTGTATTGATGATATTGACTCGAAGGTCGACTTTGCGTCTACATTCAAGTTAGCGACAAGCCATTCCCGCTTAGTTTGGTCTTCACTTGCCATCTAGATCTTCTTCGCGCGCGAGAATTATCGAAGTCGTTGGTACCTCGTCGGAAGCCGCATCCTGATTTGGCATCGAGCTAGGTAAGAAGGGGCTGCCCTGCATGGCATCGTCTCCATCGTCATGGTTCTCAGTATGAACACCGCTTGTATCCTTCTCTTGTGGTTTCCGAGTCCCGGTAATAATGTAAGTCGCATTCACACTCTGCGGCTTCTTCTTATTCTCGGTGTGGTGAAAATCATATAGCATTCTGGAAGCGTTAACCATTCTGTATCAAGCGACGAGGTCGTAGATAGACGAACTGTTTGGCCAGGTTGCCATGGACCTTGAGAGCTCGACCTAACGAGCGATAGGTGACCTGAATCGATTGAGTTCTCCGGAGCTCAAAGCACAACTCGGATCTCACATACTGTACGACGCTCGTTGAGAACATTCTCTGCGAGGTATTTCCGGTAATCGGCCACCGCCATCTTCGCTCTTGCAGCTATTTGCGCTTCTGTAGCTTGTGTCTCTTTGCGGACAGAAGCTCCGATCATTTATGGTCCTTCCCGAGCGACGCGTCTTAAACCACTTTACGCGTATCAGTCAGCCGGTCTTGGCGCTGCGCCTGCTGATAGCAGTACCCATTAGTCTCGACTTTCTTTCTCAGCCTTGACGATCATACAAACATCGTCTTTCTCCCACGCCATAAGGCGCGGCAGCTTACTCCGATTCAATGGAGCAGACATTTGACCTTCCCGACTCCACAGACTGGTTGGACACACCGTTGTCGCTCGTCTCGCCGCTGGAGTCATCTCTCCGCTGTCAAGTCTGCAAGGACTTTTTCGACAACCCCGTCATCACCTCGTGCAGCCATACGTTCTGTTCGTTATGTATACGACGATGTCTAAGTACTGAGGGTAAATGCCCGGCCTGTCGGAGCTCGGATCAGGAGCTCAAACTGCGCCGGAATTGGGCGGTCCAGGAGTTGGTGGAAGCTTTCCAAAATGCTCGTCCGAGCATGCTCGAGCTTGCGAGGAAGGCCGCTAACTCGCGTGTGGATGAGGAGTACGCTACGGGTCAACCTGCGACGAAGAAGCGTAAGGTAGATCAGGAGGATGGTCCGGATGCGTCTGGGTCTGAGGGGATACGGACAAGGTCGCAGAGCAGAAGAGGGAACAGCCAAGCTGAGCCTGTTGTGGTGGATGCGATCGAAGACGACCAGGATGAGGAATATATCCCGGGTATGTTATTATACTCTACTTGACCAAGTTCCGCTCGAGGTTGGAGAAGCCATGGCGTCTGATATGAGCGTATCTAGAGGACGGTCTGGTCGCATGCCCTATTTGCGGCCGGAGAATGAAAAATGAAGCAGTTTTCCAACACTTGGATATTTGCACTGGGGACCCAGCTCCTTTAAAACAAGCATCCTTTGGGTATGATGTCTCTAGAATGGAATATACGATGCAAAGTATCTGACTCCTGTTTTATCCAGTTCTCTGCAGCCCATGTCCCCAGCCTCGCGCAAGTCAAAAGATGTCACAGACAAACCACCAGAACGGCTCCCGACCATAAACTATAGTCTGCTGAAGGATAATGTTCTCCGCAAGAAGCTCAAAGACTTGGGTATACCCAACTGGGGCCCGCGACCCCTTCTGCAGAGACGTCACACAGAGTGGATGAATCTATGGAATGCGAACTGCGACTCGAAAGCACCCAAGTCCAAACGAGAATTGTTGCACGAATTGGCTGTATGGGAGCGCACCCAGGGTGGACATGCTGCTCCATCATCGGAATCTAGCAACACAGTTATGCGCAAGGACTTTGATGCGGCAGCGTGGTCGAATAACCATGGTGACGAGTTCAAGCGGCTGATTGCGAATGCACGGAAGAGAAAAGACGCTGTGATTCGCACAACAATACCTCATGCGGCTCCAGCTCAAGACGGAATTTCCATGGCTTCGGCACCTGAGCAGTCGACGGAAACGTCAACACCACCAGAAGTTGCAGAGAGGTTGCAAACACAGACAGTACCTGAAGGCACTTCAGTTGCAACTATTGCTGAGAATGAAACTCAGACGATACGGACCCCTAGTATAGCGCAGGTAGTCAGTTCTTCTCCAGAGTAGTTCACAGGCCGGCCTTGTGCACAGAGACTGCCCCTGAAGAAGCTGCGAAGACACTGTAGCACCAAAACTATGTCTCTGACATGAGGGATGGATGCCCTAGATCTCACTGAGCCGTGGCCCCAGGACTTTCCTCAACTGACATGTGCGACAGCCTTTCAATACTTTCCTCGATCGCCGAATCTACGCTCTGCTCCGACGCGGCTGTCTGTGCAGCCTCTTTGGCTTTCTGTTCGATGTGGTCAAGCTCAGCGAGCTTCTTGCGAGTCTCTTCTGCCTCCTTTTCTTCCACCGCTTGTCGCTCCCTATTCTCCAGTTCTTCAAGCTCGTCATCCAACTCTATCTCGTCGATCTCCGGCGCAACCTCATTCAGGATGTTGCCGATTTCGTCCACCTTGGACATCTCTTCACGCAGCTCCTCAACAACGTCCTCAACCCTCTCGACGCCGCCAATGTGAGTATGCAGTCCCCGAAGAACACCAGTGCTCGCTTCCATCACTCGGACGTATTCAACCTGGTCCGCGGCATTTTCTATCTTTGAATAGACTTCTTCGAGCTGCGTCAGAGTGTCCAGTCTTTGTTTAAGATTATGCTCGGCCAGCTTCTTGGAGCGCACCGCTGCCAATGCCGAGACGCGATTCTTCTTCTGGACAGCGACTTTTGCGGTCAAGTTCAGCTCCTCAATCTTGCTCTCCAGACGGTCGACTTGCTTTGTCATAGTTGACATGAGTGATTTGATAGAGGCAATGGTAGTGTCTTGGTCATTGATCTCGCGCGGCGAGTCGTTCGAGGGTCTGAACCTGATGGTCTGGTTCACATCAGTATGTGCCCGTTCCGTATGTGTACCGATCACAACCTACCTTGCCGTCGTACGCGATGGCCCCTATATCGCGGGATAGATAAAGTAACAAGACATCGAAATCAGCGCTCGAAAGCCCACTGTCCTTGTTAAGCACTGTTGCGAACTCTTCTGCAAAACGTTCTTTGGAGTAGACTAGATCCATCTTTGATTGACTGCCCCCAAGAGTCTGCTTCACTACCCGATCTGCTGCCTCCTGTAGGATTCAATCAGGACCTGTGCGACGAAACTGCGAGAGAGCCATACCTTTAGGTTTTCTACCAATACCAGCTCCTGAACCTGTAATCTAGCGGAAGTCTCTGGCGTGTCACTCCCAACCACAAAACCTCTCAACTGCTTCATCCCCCATGTCATTACATTCCATGGACTCAACGCCCCAGGATTGATAATCCTCCATTGCCTTTGCTGCGAGCTGAGCGGACTAGCCTTGAAAACCTGCAATGGAACCATATTATGCTTCCGAATGGCTTCATCCTGTACGCGAAACCAACACACTCAGCAATCATAAAATTTCGAAGAGACCGGAAGCTGAGACATACCAACACCGCACCAATCGCCACCGGCCGGCCGTACTCGGGTATCTCTAGAGCTCGTAACAGTGAATCATCCGTCCTCAGTATCAAATGGTCACTTTGGACCGCTGTACCGGTCGTCGAGCTGGATTCGCGACAAAGGGAAGTCGATGCATAACCCCTCCTTGCGGCCCTCGTAAGGGCTTGTTCCCATGCAGCGACGTTCACGGCATAACCGTCGGGGTTCGTCTTCTTCTGTAACGTGAAGTCGGAGTAAAGCGAGGGCAAGCGGTTTCTGGAACAAAGTCGTTAGCTTCACCTTCTCGGCTAACCTCTGTCTAGAGATGGAAGCGGTGCATACTTTTTGAAGGAGTCTTCTTGTGTGAGGATGTACTTCAGAAGGTCACTCATGTTGCGTGAGCTATATCCTCTCCAAGCTGTGGTTTTCTTGAGTTGCTCGTTTTGGATGCTTGTATATACTTCTGTGCTTTGCTTGCGTATGTGTTGTGCAAGATATGAGTTAAGATACAATGTCGAATTGCGGTGTGGACATACTCAGTCTGACCAAGCTGGTAGTTGGCGTGTTGATTGATCTGGACTTGCTGATGTCAACAGTCTATCGTTGCTGAGGAGAGCGCTCTATCGATAAGATAACATCACGTGATGATACATGCCTTTGTCTGCTCTACTATTTTATGGGATGAGATGAATAGATCATTTTTGATTGGATTAAAGTGGTTGCCCAGATTCTATAGCTACCATCTGTCATAATATACGCCATGTGTGGCTCGCTCCACGTATCTTAAGCTCGTTCAAAATCGTCATTCGCTGAAGTTTCATTATCCCTCGTCATCGGCGCAGTAAGGCCGCCTGAATCCAGAGGGTTGCCGATCAAAGACTTCCGATTCTGGCGCTTGTCCAGCTTTTCGCTTGTTTCTTCAGGTTCCAGCTGCTCAGTCGCAGCTACTTCCTCCCGATGGTCTAAGCCTCGAGTACCAAGATATTCGACTTTCACTGTATGTCGGAGATTATCAACGAATGATTGCATCTCTGGCATGGGAAATATCCCGTCGCTGTCAAGCACGTCAGCGTACAGGCGTTCCGCTTCCTCAAGGCAAGAAGACGCCAGAGTTGGCTTTCCAACCCTGAGCCAGAGGTCAGCTGCAAGTACGCTCCACATCCCAGCCTTCCTGCGACGGCCGCCCCATTTCACACCGGTCAATGGCGGCCTAGAAGCATAACACGCCGAGATTCTTTCGCTGAAAAGGATCTGCCCTATCCCGCCGACTAAGCCTAGGTCCATAGCCCGCATGGCCCATTTAGCCGCGCTTTCAGTTGCAAACCCGCCACGAGACTTCAGCAGTTCCATAGCTAAGCATAAACAACGCAGAGCATTGGGTGCATCAGAACACCTCGTAAGGTAGGAATAGCAAGCCGTTTCCAACATCTGATCGATGGCTTCGAGTTTGGTTTTTGCTGGCATGGCCATTGGGTTCAGCAGCGTGCTCACTGCGCACATCTCATGAGCACCGGCATGATATCTCCAAGCCTTATCGTTGGTATAGTCGGAACGTAGGAGCTCATAAGTGGACGCTGATAGCTTCCAGTCACGAAGCATGAAAGCAAAGTCAGCCATCTTTCGCAATATCGCTTCAGGCGCGTCCGGTTTGTAGAATCCGCGTGCAAAATCATAGTTTCCACCACCGGAGCCATTAATGCCAGACCGCGAGCTAGAACCGAATCCTGCCCATTTCCGCGACATCGACATGAAACGGCCACTAATACCGCGCCTTCGAGATGCCACCTGATCATTCCAGACGGCAACTCTGTTTTCCATGTACGGAATGATTGATTGAGCGACTAACTCCCGAACCAAAACCCTGATGGCCATCGCGTCCGAGTCAAAGAGATATGGGCGATATTCGGTGTCAAGCTCGACAAGCGGCTCTGGTATCGATTAGATAGCTGGACTGAAGGGAGTACGTGATAAATGACATACCGTCCTGGCTTGCTAGATGCTCCGACGGTGAGAGCCATTCGGATTGAGGGACTGGAGCGCTGTCGTCATCCGTCACAACACACTGCATGCTGCGTAGCCTTAGTAGATGACAATGCAGCCCAAAATGCCGCTTCATCTGTTCATAGAGCTTGGTTGACTCGGCGATGTCATCCCGGTCCTCGTCGTGAACGAGCACATAGTATCGAAGATACTCTGGATGAACCCACTCCGGTAACCTCCTGTCTCCATTGCTTGTATCTGCATACAACTGACGGAGAGTTTCTAAGGGAGCCGTGTTGCGTGAGCTAATGGCAATCACACTGGCTACGGGATGGCGGAAAGTCTCGTGGGGTGCTGCCGACGCCGTTGACAAAAGCTGACGCAGGTAGAACTTGTATAATGGCGAAGTCGCAAGGGAATTCGCGAGGTCTTTCGGTCGCAGGGGAGCGCCCAATAATTCATCTGCTGCATCAAGTTGTCGGTCCAAAACTTCCTCTAGCTGTGCAAGAGAGTTCTGTCGAGTGTCGGGGCCTACGGCAAACTGCTGACGACCTCCCAGATCCACAAAGCGCACTCCGTAATCCTCCCATCCACGACTCGATCCAACGCTATCCCGAATAACGACTTTTCCAGGGATGCTTTCTCCGAATGGCCGGATCAACTCCCAGAAGCCGCCTTTGAAGCCTTTCTCCCGCACCAGATCATCGGTATCCACAGACGCATAAACTCCGACAGTAGGAGAAAAGGACCGTATGATTAGTGATCGTATATCTTCTGTACCATCAACATGTCCCTCCAACGGTGAGCCCAGAGACGACCTGGCTAGCTGTGGAGTTGACGATCTAAGCGGCCGACCATGGGGTGACGCAGAACGGATCGGAAGCTCTGAGGTAGTAGCGGAGAGAGGAGGCGTCGGTGATAATCCTCTCCTAGCTTCAAGGGAATCTGGATCTATTGACGAGGAGGAATCACGACGCTGGTCTGGATATCTTGTCTTTGTTGTGATACGCGGCACGCCGGGCGAAAACGACGGCGGAGGTTTGACCGGAGAAGCATCTCCGGGCGATGTCATGGACATCGAATTGTTTCTAAATCAGGATAAAGAAAGATGAAGTAGACTCTAGAGCCCATGGACCGAGAAGTGAGGGCGCAAACAGGGCGTCGAAGGAGGTTAAACTGGAGACCCAAGCAGAACCCCTAAGGATAGATACCTAATGAGAAGTGGATTGGAAGATAAGATGGGATGGCCCAAGTCAGTCTGGCAAAAACGTGGTACAACTGAGGAGGGCAGACAGAGGGACTGGAACGCCTGCTTCTCGTCCAATGGCAGATAATTACTCAGAGTATAAATCCAATAATTCTTATGTAGTGCAGTAGAACAATATGCTCCCGGAGATTTATTTATCTGATGTAGTCTTCTAAATCCAGTTTACACTATGGGATGTTATGGTCGCCATCGAGTTGGAGAAGGCGGTAGTGGTGATCTTCAGTCCAATCAATTGGCACAACACACATCCTGGGGAATGATTCATTCATGACTCCTACGCATTTCAGTTGAGTCACACGTCCTGTGCACTCATGTCAGTAGTATAATACTCGTTGCATGGCTTGTGTCGATGTCGAATACCCCAGC